TGCTGGCGTCCTGTGTTCAGGCAGCGCTGTGGGGGCGCGGACCCTAGGATTTTAGCCCTGCCTCTGCTGCTGACTACCCGAATGACCTGGTCTCTTTGGGGACTTACGTTTTTTCCTGTTTGGAAGCCCAAAGGGCTTGTCTAGTGTGAAAATCCCATGACCTTGCTTAAGGTGCCTCGTGTTTGTGGGCTCTCGCCTGTTTTCCCCCTCTTCATTAAAATCTTACTTGTGTTACAGTATTTTAAGTTCAGCCACCCAGTGCCTTGGTGTACAGTGACTGTTGACTGGAATTAGATATGTCAGAATCCTAGGTGGAGACAGACAGGACTGAAGAAATAGTCCCAAACTTTCTCCAAATTTACAGAACAATTTTGTTCGTGCTTTTTATTGGAGAAGAAGATTTATTGCTTCTGAACCTTCTTTGAGAAATAAAGGTAGTGCAAAATAATTATAGGGCAAAAATGTGGACGATATTTAATATTTTTCTTAAAAAAAAGATTCGTCACTTTTATGGCCATATAAAGTCTCTTCACTCAAGCATGCTTTCTTTTGTTGCATATAATAAATGGAATGGGAAATTGATTGCCCTAAGACTAATTTTACTTCCTATGTGAAATACTATAAAATTTATTTTTCTACATTTATTCAGCTTGCCTTTGTTGACCTAAAAATAAAAGTTATTTTACCAGCAAAAATGGGTTTATTTGGGAACAGCAAAGAAATGCAATTCAGGACAAGTAAGCTACAGCAAAAGCCATAGGCAAGGCCAACAAACAAAGGAGAGGAAAGTTTTATGGAGAAGAAGGAAGTTGGGAGGGGTAGTTTTGAATAAAGTTCATTGGAAAAATTGAGAGTTAAGGGCGATGATGGTTTCTCATTAACTGGGATTGTCAATTGACATTCTAGCAGGATGATTTCTCATTTGCTGGGATTGTCAATTTCTTGTAGGAGACCTAATGTACATCTTTTATGTTGGGGCCTACCATTGATGATTCTTTCCTGTTGAGGATTTTTCTGTTGGGTTCTGTAATTGATAATTCATCCTATAATTTGACTTCTGGTACTATGAGCACCCGCTCTGGCCTGACACTATTTCAAGTAAGATTTCCCTTTGTTAATTTTCACACCTTCCAATGGCTATGCTCATTTAGAAAACTCAGTTTAGGATCATGCAGACTTCAAGAACATAAACTCAAAGGGCAGTTTTACACTATGAAAAGATTAGCTTCAGAGGATATTTTGTATGTACGAGTTTTTAAAAATATTTTTATTGATTTCAGAGAGATAGGGAGAAGGAGAGATAGATAGAAACATCAATGATGAGAGAATCATCCATAAGCTGCCTCCTGCACACCCCCCACTGGAGATGGAGCCCACAATAAGGGTATGTGCCCTGACTGGGAATGAACCATGACTTCCTGGTTCATAGGTCAATGCTCAACCACTGAGCCACCTGGTATTTTTCATAAGTGTCAGTGTCTAACCTCTTACTGCTTTAGAAGTAGGATTTGATTTACGTAATCTTTTACAAACACATTGACTTATAAAGGCCACCTATGTCAGCCACTTTTATGTTCTTATGTAATAGTATTAAACTATAATATGAAAACATTCCTTAAAATCCGCCATGGACATAACTTTGAATTGTCTTGGAAATGTAAAGAAGCATAATATATGACTATAACCTCACAAAAATCATTTGGATTAGGTAAAATTGCTTAGTATTACTTGAGTGGATTGTATAAGTTCTTTTCCCTAAAGAAATTCTCTGAGAGAGGAAATGGAAGATTGTGTTGTACTAGAATAAGTAAATCACTGCTGCCTGTCTCCAGCTTACTGAGCTGTGGTTATTTTAAAGCAAACAGAAAGTATGTCAAGAAAGGGAATTTGATGTTCCTGTCAAACTGAGGAATATGGTTCGAGTAAGTACTTGTATGTTGTGTGTAATTAAGATTATTGCATGACATATTTACCGGTAAAACAAAAGAATGTTTTAATATATGATAGTTTTGTAGCCTGTCCAGTAGTGCAGTTGAAATAGCTTGGTAATCTCTGTCAGCTTCCCATTTTGTAAGATTATTAAGATTCTTGGAGAGATTTGGCTTTTGGGAGTGGGTAGAAAGTAAATATGCATGCTTTTTTTTGCCCATATAAAGTAAAAAAAATTTAAGGAGAGAGTAAGTAGGTATTTTCTGTTTCAGGTATGTTAAAATGAGCTCTTGGGTTAGGTTGAGGAAAATGGCTTATTTCTTACACTATGGTATTCTTTTACATGTAAAAAATAAATAGGAGTTACAGCAGTATTTTTTTACATGTTTGTATTCACTAATATTGTTAAACCTCTTTTAGTATCACCCAAACCAAATCTACAAGAGGAAATTTCCTGAAGTAGCTATAGTTTCCACTATTACATTGGAGCTTTTATCAAACCAAATGGCAACTGTTTGCTAAAACAACTCTTTGGGTTAGAGTGCATATACTTTTTATAGATGCTCTCATTTCATCCTCACAACCCAATGAGCTATATCTGTTGTTATCCCCATTTTACAAATAAGAAAAATGAGACTTAGCAGAATTTTAAAATTATTCTGCCTAAAGTTGCATTAGTTAAGAAGCAGAACTAGGATATATCTTGAGCCTGCACTATTAACCACTATGTTATATTGATCTAGTTTTAGTTGGATGAATGAAAATCATTTGTGTTAGAAAAGACATGTTCACACTTGGACTTACTAGTTGAAAATTAAACTCGCTCTCTATGAATGTTTTATAAACCTTGCTTTCCGTGGATCAAATTTATCCAATAAAAGTAAAAAACTTTAATAGCACCAGAGCAAATCTACTGTAGAACATCTATGTTTTTTATCCTTTTCATTTAGCAATCTTACTCTACATGTACAACATGTTCATAATGCATTATACTTAGAAAGAATTCCTAAAATAAAAATTGTGGAGATGAGGTGGTTATGTGTATGTTAGTGGATGAGTGGGCCTTTGAAAGATATGTACAGATTAAGGAGTAAAGAAAAAATTAGAAAAGAGCCTGGCCAATGTAGCTCAGCTGTTGAGCATTGACCCAGCAACCAAGAGGTCACTGGTTGGATTCCAGGTCAGGGCACATGCCTGGGGTTGCAAGCTCCAATCCCTGTGGGGGATCCTGTAGGAGGCAGCCAATCAATGATTTTTCTCTCTCATTGATGTTTCTATCTCTTATCTCTCTCCTTCCTTTTCACTGGTCTATCTGTATGTTCACTATCAGTTCAACTTATGACTAAAAGTTTCACTTTCTGAAGTGTTTGATAAGTTTTTGCCATAGAGCATGAGTGTCTATTCGTAGTGCTATGAGGAAAATATTTCTTTTTGTGATTAGTATTCTTAAGGTAACTAAGGAAATGTGGCATCAAGAAAATTATGGTTCAACTTCTTCCAAAATGCATGGGGGGCTTTAAAGTCATTGATTTCAAATAATACCACTTTCCCTGTTTGGGTTGCTCAGTTGTTGGAACATTGTCCCATTCACCAAAAAGGTTGTGGGTTCATTTCCCAGTCAGGTCAGGGCACATACCTAGGTTGCAGATTGATGATCGAGGATCGATGTTTCTCTGGCTCTTCCTTTCTCTCTAGAAATAAGTGAAAGCATATCCTCAGGCAAGGATTAAAAAATAATAATAATAGCAAATCTATTTGAAATTTTACCCCTTCTCCCCCAAATGTTACTTTTTTAAATTCACTCATTTAGTCAAGTTTTAGGATTTACTTTTTCTGTATTATGAAATAATTTTTTTTTCCCTCTGGTTTTCACTCTGTTCTTTTCTGCAGTTTTCTTTTGTGGTGGTTGTTTTGCTTTTTTAAAAATTCATAGATGTCTAAAGAACAACTGTATTTGCAAGTCACTTAAAATGGTTTATATTATATTTTAAAAGTAAAATGAAAAGAAACAAAACTCTGCCTTCTTTGTGTAGTTAATTAGCATTTCTCTTGATTTATTTCCCTTATTACTGCACTAGTTGGTCAGCAGACAAATATAGTGGGCCCTCCATGAAAATGATTACCTTTGGCATTATTCTCATTTTTTCCCATTGGTCAGCTGTTTTGATGTGGGCTAGAGTTAGGCAGGAGGAAATCTGCATGCTCTTGACAGGTTAAAATTTTACTTTGAAATATTCTGACTTTCGCCTCTACCAGCATTAATTCCACTCCTGCTTTAGAGTTTTGTGAGTTGGGTGTTCCCTGGTCATATAATCTAAACAGTTTCATTTATGAGATAAGGGTGTGTGTGTGTGTGTGTGTGTGTGTGTGTGTGTTGGGAGGGGAGAAGAGGAGAGGAATTTCAGGCATTTTTTGTCGAGCATATACTAGTACACGTTAACACTGCTTTTCCAAAGTATATAAAATGTCTTCGTAATATCCTGAGCTTATTACTTGATCTTATAATTATTTTGATGTATGAGTAAATGTGGGTATGTATTTGAGATGTAAAACTGTAAGCTTATAATTTTTCTAGCTTCCAGTCTGTATTTTTGGATATTCTTTATTGCTTTAAATATCTTCTAAAAGTTTCTCTCCTTATCATTCAGTTATGAATTTTAAACTAGCAACTTTCAATGTTTGCAGCTGATGTACATATTATATTTCCAAGATAAAAGTTTTTAGCAAAGAAATATTCACATTTTTGCATATTTCCATGTACAAAAATGAGTTTAGGTTTTAATCTTTTAAATTAACAGGCTAAGTTTTCTTTACAGTCATTCACTTTTAATATGTTATGAATGTTAAATTGTGTTTGTATTTGTTATTTAGGTGACTATTATATGGTTAAAAAGATTTTGGAGGAAAGCAGTTCAGGTGACTTGAACATAAATTGCGTAGATGTGCTTGGGAGAAATGCTGTTACAATAACTATTGAAAATGAAAATTTGGATATACTACAGCTACTTTTGGACTACGGTTGTCAGGTACAAGGCTAGATAATTTTATTTTGTAGCTTCTAAGTTCTGTTAGATGTGCCATGTTTTCTTCTTTGTAGTTCACTCTCTTCCTGCCTCCCTCCCTATCTTCTTTTTCCCCCCCTTTTCTCTTTCTTCTCTTTCACTTTTAAATTGATTTTGACCCATAAAAAGTTCTAAAAACAAATCTAAAGCCTATTTTTCAAAGTATAATATTTTTACTTGATTTATTTTTTTCTCCCAACTTTTACGCCCCTCTCCCTCATCTTATGTGTTTTACATCTGACGGAGAAAATTATCATGACTTATTAAAGGTGACTTTGTTTTTCTTATTTATATTATGATATTATATGTACATAATATTATATATCTAAAAATATACAAGTGTTCTAGAAGTGTCAGGGGAAAAGATTTTTCTGTGACCCATATAATTTACAAGCATAAGAACAAAATGCTCCTGACTCACAAAGCAATTTTCAGTTTGACTTTGATTTTCTCTTAAGTTTTATTAAATTTTCCTTTTTGCCTGAAACTTAATGTTCACTTATAACTAAAGGTGAATGAATTTTTTTAACTGGAAAATACTGACCTTTTATATCTTTATCAGTTAGGGTAGAAGAACAGAGATGCATATAAGTCTTGAAAGAATTCAGTCAAGAGATTCTGAAAGAAATTTAATCATATTCTTTTTTTTTTTTTTAGTTTGCTTAGTATGGGATTTAGCACATGAATTCTGGCTTTTTTTTTCTTTCACATAGTATGATTGATTGCTCTGTTGTAGCTTTAACTTAATGAGGCATATATATATATATATTTTGAGTGGCATCAGGAAGCACTCAGAAGATTTAAAAAAATATAAATAGGTTAGTTATATGGACAACATGGTACTGTCTCTGTATATACATATTTAGATAGAGAAAGAAGTTGCTTTCCCAGCAATTTCAGTTAACCAGAACATCAATGAGACTCAGGAAGTAAGTAAAAAGTACCTCTGAGCAGCCGGAGCCTAGAAGTTTCTGACATACAAACTTTGGTCAGAGGAATACTTCTGGAGCCCTTCTTCAAAGTCTATATTTGTTAATTTTAGATACTTCTTTAACAAACTTAATTATTTAGTTTTCTAATCCATAGAGAGAAGTGCAACAGAAGGGGCATGAGGACTACAGAGTCCAGTGCCTCTGACTATTTATTAAAGAGGTCAACAGCATTACATACATGGTAATCCCTGAGGGAGCTATATGTTAGAATAATAATTAATGTTTATAACAATGGTCCAGAGTCAGTAAGGAAAAATTAAATTATATTCAGTGCCTATTGTTTTAAGGAAGAATATATACAGTACTATTAAAAGCAGAAAATTTCCATCAAAATAGTTTACATTTCAAAGTGAAATACTTAAAGGCATAGAAAATAAGGTTATAAAGGAAGTCCTGGATGATTCTTAATAAAGGAGGTATTATCGTATAATAATTATTTTTGTCTTTTTACACATATGACTCTCTCTATATAATCTGCAGTGTATACATGGTTTTTTCACACCCCTGATTACATTTGAACATCATAGCCAGCCTATATAGATGTTTCATTTTATAGATCAGAAAACTGAGGCTCATGGACTTTAATGTATTGCCCAAAGTTCTAAAATAAGGCCAAACCTAAGATATAATCTGGTCTTCTGACTGCAATTTTCATGCTCTCTTCAGTTCATTTTCTCTGTCTCAGGTTACCTATGTCCTATCTATCAATCAACAAGTGTCTAAGGCCTTTGATTGGATGTGATTGTAGAAATGAATACATAAAACATAAGTTCTGTATTAAAGGATATTAAAAGTAATTGGACAATGAAAATACGTATGAATTTCAAGTCATTTAAAAAAACAAAAGTGTATTTGATAAGTGCTAAGGGGTAATACTACTTGAACCTTGTATATTGCTTTAAGTGTTTTCATATATTTTATGTTGTGTTACTCTTATGGTTCTCAACTGGATAATCCCCCTTCCCCTACAGGGGACATTTGACAATGTATGGAGACATATTTGGTTTCACAACTAGGGAGTGGGTTACTACTGGCATTTGATGAGTAGAGGCCACAGATGCTGCTAAACATCTTACAATGCTTAGGACAGCCGCCACGACAAAGATTTATCTGCCCTAAAATGTCAACAATGCCACTATTGATAAACCCTGTTTTATACTTAAACTTTTGTAGTTTATAATAAATGTGTTAGAAACATAGAAAAGAGAAGATCACTGTGGATTGGAGCTATTAAAGGTTTACTGGAAGAGTGTCAGTTGAGCCTTGAAATCTTAATAATTACTAATATGTATATAGTACTTCTATGTGCCAAGAACCTTTAATGTATTCAACTTCCTTAATCCTCACAATATTCCTATCAGATAGGTACTGTTATAATCTCCATTTTATAAAGGAGGAAACCGAGGTACAGAAAGGTTAAATAACTTGCCCAAAGTCATTGTCTAAATCAGGGGTCCTCAAACTTTTTAAACAGGGGGCCAGTTCACTGTCCCTCAGACCGTTGGAGGGCCGGACTATAGTTTAAAAAAAAACTATGAACAAATTCCTGTGCACACTGCACATATCTTATTTTGAAGTAAAAAAACAAAACGGGAACAAATACAATATTTGTATTTGCATGTGGCCCGCGGGCCGTAGTGTGAGGACCCCTGGTCTAAATGGTAGAACTGGAACTTGAACCCAGGTTCTGGCTCCAGAGTCCATGCTTTTTACCGAGTATTTAAAATTACTCTCAAATGTGTAGATAGGTCAGGAACAGGGGATGTGGACAAGAATTAGTTAAGTAAACAAAGGCATGTGCAATGTGTATCCTCAAGACAGTGAATTGATTTCGCCTGTTTAAACAAAATATTTGGGGTGGATAGTAGTGTGAAGTATCTGGAAAAACAGCTAAAAGGAAACTGATGAAAATGGTCTGATGGCCAGGCTAAGGAATTTGGGTTTTATGAAAGATAGTGGGGTCAAGAAATGATTTTTGAGAAAGGATGTGTTATGTCCAGTAGTATTTTAGAAAAACTATTCTAGTGGTTGTGTTCAGTATACATGAGAAAATGGAAAATGGGGAAGGCAATAACTTGGTGAGCAGTTTTGTAATCCAGACATGAAGAAGTTAAAGCCTGACTGGAATAGTGGCTGTAAGAATGGTGGGAGGTGGGGAATGGCAGATGTGAGAAATGTTATGAAGGAGAATTGACAGAATTTAGTGACTATTTAAATTTGGAGGGGAGAATTGAGGAGTTCAAGATGATTTGGAAATCTTAAAAATGGGTGACTTGGAGGCAGAAAGAAGAATAGGAAATTAAGAATAGAAGTCAATCTTGGGGCAGAGAAATGTGAATTCTGGTTTTGGCCTTGTTTATTTTGGGGCTATCAGGCATCCTCCAATAGACAGTTACAGATGAAGATTTCATCTCTAGGGAGTTGTCGGGCTAGAGAGAAAGAAGCAGCAGTCATGGCCATGGACATTGTGAGAATGAGTGAATGACAACAGAGAAGAGCAGATGACTGGTGCCAGCTCTTTCTCAGGGAACATCTATTTTAATAAAGGGCACTAAAAGGGAAGGGTGTCATTGAAGGAGTCAGGACAGTGCAGCATTGTAAAAACCAAAGAAACAGTTTTAATATGTTGCCTAGAAATCAAGGAAAATGAGGAATTTTTGAAATTCACGTCAGTAGAACTAAGAAAATGATGCACATGGATTTGAGAAGTTTGATAAAGTGAGAGGAAGAAAACTTGAGTGGAAAGAAGATAGAATCAAGCCCAGTTATCAAAGAGTGAGAAAATATCTCATGTTTTGGGAGGTAGGGACTAGGACTAGCATGTCTGCGAATGAAGGACCAAGGTCCTATAGAAGACAGAAAGCATTAAATAGAATACTAGGGTGGACTATTTAGCTTCAGAAAGTAAGTGGCTTATTACTCTGAGCTTAAAGGAAAGAGTATGTGAATTGTTGAAAATTCTGAGGTGAGAAGGAAGATAGCAACCTCATTAATACATAATCTACACTAATAAAAGAGAAACATGGTAATTAGCGTACGACCGCTACCCTTTTCATTGGCTAATTAGCGAGATATGCAAATTAATCACCAGCCAAGATGGCGGTTAACTGCCAAAAAAGATGGCGGTTAATTTGCATATGTAGGCACAATGCAGGGAGGCAAAAGGGAAAGCTCGGAAGAAACCCCCTGGCACTGACAGTGATCGGAAACCCAGGGGGGAGCTAAGAGCCGGGGGGCAGGGCA